AGACAACATAATGGGGACCAGATAGCACATTTCTTGACCAGAGGTACTTCGCTAATTTTGTGGCGTATTCGTTACCGTTTTCAGGGTCTAAATCTATAAATGGCTGTGTAAACATTTCACTTTCAACTAAACAGGATTTGGCAGGGTTAATAGAGTGCTGGCTGGCGTAATAGCTGAACCTCGAGGTAATTAGGTGAGTCTTAGTGACTGCCCTGCTGTTGCTGGAGCATGAAAGCAGGCACGCAGGGGCAGGAAGCAGAAGGCAGGGAAACCTGGATTTGCACAGGTTTCTGGTCCCCATTGCTTTATGCAGCTGCTCAGTGTGTGACGCCTTTTGAAAATGAAGGCAGGCACGTAGATTTTTGTGTGTCTGAGTACACTGAAATACCTGACCTGTAACTGCGTGTGTATGAGATGCTGGAGATGCAAGCAGAACCACCAGTGTTTTCAGAACATCTTCTGCGCATTTCAACACCATTTTAAATCTAAAGTCAGAGTTGTATTTTGGGTGGGGATTTGTTGTTGTTGTTTTGGCTTGGTTTGTTTCTTTTAAGATGTATTCTATGCCTGCTTAGAATAGAAACCTGTTGGCAAAGAGTACAAGATAGCTTGTGCGCCTCCTCTGAATCTACTCTTCACTGTCAGTTGGGGAAACAAAGTTACTATTCCCCTGCTGTCCTCGACAATTGTGTTATGTTTTTTATAGACATCACACTGTTAAACAGGTGTTAAGTTTGACTCCAGTGGTGTCTTCATTTTTAGAAACAGATAGTACGCATAACTCTTCAAATCAGCTGTTGGGAACTGCATGAGACAAATGTAAATTAATTACCCTCAACTTGAGTCTTTGGATTTACTTCCTAGTGCTCTTTTTCCCCCCTTAATGTTATGAAGACTGTCTTCAGCAGACTATGAGACACACCTATTCTTAAAGGAAAAGGAAGAAGGCAGAAGAGGTTTTGGTTTTCTCCCTGGCATGTCAAGCCTAGTCAAAAAGTCCAGAATAGAATCTCACATTGTAAAAGTGGCTATTTTGGCATTGGACAAAGTTACAAATCTTTGGCCTTGTAGAGGCTCGTCCCTGCTGCTGGGAACACCAGGTTAATAGCCTTGACACGGAGTTTGTTCTTCTCCTTAGTTGCGGTGTATGAACCATCAGTGCCGTTCCCTTCAGGGCATGGGAGCCAGGGGATGCTGTCACCCCTGGCTTTCCCAATGAGACACGGCAGGCGGTGGCCACTGTCGTGTGTCTCCTTGTGGCACGGCCTTGCAGGTTCAATTCCCCAGCAGGTCATTAGAAACAAAACGATCTGCCTTCTGAAAGCTACGTGTATTCCTTAAAGTCATCAGTCATTTCTTATTTGTTTCAACCTCCTTCTTTCCCGGACTTCCAGCACTGTCTGAAGTTTCCTGGTATATTCTTAAATATGCCGACTTCTCCTTTTTTAAAAATGTAATTCAAGAGCAAATACCGTAGAAATTTCCTGTATTTTTTTCAGTTTTGTGAGAGAGTTGGTTTGAAGTCTTTCTCCTGAAATGTGAAATTGTAGATATATTTCTAAAGTATGTACTACTGTTGTGCAGTTTATTTTTGAATCATAGATGACATGCTTTGAAATTGATTGTAATGGATAGCATTAAAACTGTTGTACCTTAAGTTGCTTAATGTCAGCAGGATATTTTAGCTCAGTCTGCGGCACAAAATACGATCTGAAAATTTGTTACCTCACCACTGAACTTGAGAGAGTTGTTACGAATTCTTACAGTGATATTTTGCTCCTGAGAGAAAGCTATCCTAAACATTATAGGTTTTGAGTAGTAATTGCAATAAAGCTAATACACATTTCAGCGATTAAATACGTACTAATTAACAGAATGTGCTAGGGGATGGATAGCAATAATTGGTTGTCCCCTGCACCGTTCTCTGTCCCCACCAGTTCCCCATTCCCCAGGACCTCATTCAGCAGGCGTTGCCTGACACTTCTGGAAGTGATTGCAAATGCTTTTGACAAACGTTAATTGGGAAAGCGCGAGAAGGCTGGATGTGCTGTAATCAAAAGAAAATTACGGCAGTTTCACAAGATGTCAGGCAAGCCCTTGCAGAACAGACCCGAGGATTTCAGTGGGTTTCAGAGCTGCTCTGGCTGCAGCGCGAGCTCAGCACAGACGGGATTCCTGCAGCCAACAACGGGACTGGCGCACAGCCTCGGAACAACCTTCTCGGTTGTGAGCAAGAGGGGGATGAAAAGCACATCTTTGTATTTAGAAACAGATCGTCATGTTCAAAACCTCCACTCTAAATTTGTATGGAAATAAAAAGAGATACATTCATCTTTGAGACTCCTAATAGTACTGAAAAAGGATTTTGAAATAATTGTTATCTGCCAAACTGCTGACAGTTAATCTTGTTCAAAACACTAACTTTAAAACCATCTGCTGAAAGAAAGCAAGGCAGCTTTTCCTTTGTTCTTTTTGTTTATGATTTCATTTAGAGAAGATGCCTTGTCCAGTAAGTCAGAGTTCAAGCAGAAGAATAAAAAGAGAAAGAAAAAAGCCACTTTATCTACAAGAATTAATCCTGAAATTAGCTTCATTTTTTTCTGTATCATCTAGGATTTTGAAAAGACTTGATAGGAGATTATTCTCAGCACAAGGATCTGTGCTTTTGTGTGTCTATAAAGCACTGTGAACGCTAATGAAGATTTGGAAATAATTAATAACTGTTTCAGTTATGTTGCTCAATATGCATTAGAAGGTGATGAACTGAAATTCCGGCCTGTTACCTCCACGGTGTTGTCTGTGCTGAGCCCCAGAGCCATGGCAGGGCTTGGGCTGTACCTCAGCAGCCCCAGCCACGCGTTCCCAATGTGGGTCACTGGAGTGAGCAGCCGCCAGTCCCGGGCAGAAGTCGTTTTCCCTAAGCTGGTCCTGGTGTTTCTGAAAAGTTTAAAACAGGGACTCACCTTTGGCTCGAATGAGTTGTGTCCTCATACCTGCTTTAGCAAAAAAAGGGATGTTAAGGCCCAGAATGCTCAACCAGGAGAAGAGCACGTACGGGCTAGGCGCTGCTTCTGTTTGGAGCTAATCGGGCATGCTGCAGCTCTCTCAAGCAGAATGACTGCCGGGTAGGAAGATGTTATCGTAATTATTTTCCTGCAAGGTGTGCAGTGGGTGACTTCAAGTTTTGGGGTCTGTGGTTTTTTTTTAAAAATGGTTTCATTAGTTACAGCCCACTGCTTTTGTTAAAAGCTGGACTGCATTGCTTATGGCACGCTGAGTCAAATGATCCTGTCTGTTGAGTTATTCCTTCTGCAGAACTGGTTAAGAAATCTTTAATTGCTTTGAGTTTATTATGTACTGATAACTCACTAGTACTGCATCTCAGCCTTTAGAAATGTAACTATCCATTTTTATTGTGGAGATTATTTGGAGAATGTGCTGAAACATTTGACTGGTATGAGCTGGGAGTGAAAAAACCCAAAAAAATCTGTCAAAGTTTTATGTTAAGCACCCAAAATAGCAATAAGAGTAATATTAAGATAAAGGAAAGGAGACACCAGAGAATCTGTTAAAACAACATAAATAACATTTAAATAACTTTTTTTTAATAATTCTGAAGTAATTTACTTTATTATTACTCTAATTCTCTCCGTGCAGTGCCTACCACAGCAGTGACAATAACTTCTTCAGCAGAGCTATACAAAACCACAGTGTCAACCACTAGCACTACATCACAGAAAGGCCCCATAAGCACAACATTAGCTGGAGGAACAAAAGAAGGAAGCAGAGGACCCAAGCCACCGCCACCCGTTTCCACAACCAAAATTCCTCCTGTGACAAGTTTTTTCCCTTTGCCAGAGAGATTCTGTGAACCGACTGAGGCCAGGGGGATTAGCTGGCCTCAGACACAAAGAGGAATGATGGTTGAACGCCCTTGCCCCAAAGGAACACGAGGTATTGCCTTTAAAAATGTATCTTGATTCCAAGCAGACGTTTCAAAAGCAATGTGCCGCTCTCATGGTGATTTTGTTTGTATCTCAAGCTATCTGTCACATGGTTTTTTTGTTACTTGGAGAATGCAGTGTCTACAGGCTGTGGTCAAGTTTTAATCTGCAAATGGCATTTGAGTGTAGCTGCAGAATTACTTTGTGCATGCACTTTTGAGAATCCTGGTCAAATTTTAGGGCTTTGCTTGAGGACGGTTGTGAAGTACGCTTACAGCTGCCTTTCTCATTACGAGCTCCCCTCTGGATGAGCTCCAGGGAAAATCAAGAGCTTTTTGTTTGTTTGCAGAAAACGTTTGGTGCTTTTCACTGAATTTTATTGCTGTTTGTAATCCACATTATTTCCTTACGTTTTTGTCGGTTATTGTCAACCACTGTCATTAGCGGCATTCAGAATTGAACATTGCTTAGGAGCGCAGCGTAGCTGATTTCCTGAATGCGTGTGGGGAAAAAGGGTTTCCATGTCACTGTGGTTTTCTACATCTGTTGTAGGAACTGCCTCCTATCTCTGCGTGGTCTTAACGGGAACCTGGAACCCCAGAGGTCCTGATCTTAGCAACTGCACCTCACACTGGGTAAATCAGCTGGCTCAGAAGGTTGGTTGAAACCTTTTAATCTGGTGTACACTGGTGGTTAAGGATTTTAACTCTGAGCATTAATTATTCCATTTGTCGAAGCCATCTTTATTACTCCGTGTTAATTTGAAGTAGGAGGAGTTAACGCTTTTGTGCGCAAAAGCATTGGCCAACAGTTAGGTCCATATGTGTGTTTCGGTGCACTTTCCCTGTGAGTTCTTATGTCGAATCTGTGATGCCCTGTTTTCATCGCTATTTAAAGCAAAGTACCTTTGCTGGTGTTCAAAAAACAAAAGCTGTATTTGCTCGGTAAATCAAATATTATAAATTACACGGCAAAACCTGTGGTATACAGCAAGGTTTTTTTGGTACAGGAAGAATTATACTGTAATAAATAGACTTTTGTCTGAGTGCATTAATAACAGTATGATTAGTGCGCAGAGCCACTTTCTGTGCTTTCCCTCCCTACTGAGATTTACTAAGTTTATGAAAACGGGATAATTTGTTGTCAGTACCAGGCTACTTGACTTTCAAATGCCTCAAGCACTGGTACGAACAAATAGATCTCTTACTGTCTGATAATGGCAGTAAAGTAAAAGTGAGGATGAATAGAAGATCTAGCCCAGAAGTCCCAGTCTGATTTCTGGTTTTGATGGCTGTTAAGAACTGCTTTTGTGTGTCACGGATCTAAGAACCTTTAATCTTCCGAGATAAAGAGAACGTTATTGGTCTCAATTAGTTGCAGATTTCAATGTATGTGCAAATGGTTATTTCACCACAACAAAGGTACGCGGGGAATTGGAATTAGGAGCCGCAAGCAGAACAAGGGGCCCTGCTGAGATAATATAAATTGTCATTTCAGATCAGAAGTGGAGAAAACGCCGCTAGTCTGGCCAATGAACTGGCTAAACACACCAAAGGACCGGTCTTCGCTGGCGATGTGAGTTCATCGGTGAGGCTGATGGAGCAGCTCGTGGACATTTTGGATGCTCAGCTGCAAGAGCTGCGGCCCAGTGAAAAGGACTCTGCAGGAAGGAGTTATAACAAGGTACGCACCTCCCGTCACCTCCTCCTGCTGGGATAACCACTGCCCTTGGTTTCTGTTGTTTTTTTCCTTTCAGAAATATTAATCTGTACTTTGTTCCTGTGTGCTTATAGTTCTGGAGTATACATGTAAGAGAAAATAGCAGTAAATACACAGCGCAAAGTTGCAATTACCTTCTTTAGGGAATAAGATACAATTCACATTAGCTGACTGGTCCTAAAATACATAGCTGTGTCCCTTATTAAAATCTGGAATCCGTTATAACTACTATGAGGAAAATGGGCATTAGCTGTCAGAAATTCTGTAACAAATCAGCATGTTCATCCAGTGATGCTTTTAACCCTGAACATGTAATAAAATCAGTGGGATTCTGCAGGGGTGCAGGGTTTTATTTTAATCTAAATTCCTGCAGAATAATAGCACTTTCTTAGCCTTTTAAAGACGCCAACATCACTTAGAGTTATCTTTATAAAAATGCCTTAATACACATATCTAGAACACAAAAAAGTGTTGATGTTAGAGAAACACTTCAGAGAAAGGATGTCTTTGTGGTTTAAATACAAGTCACAAGCGTTATTACCATTCCTCTTTTTCTCAGAGGAAATGCTGTATTTCTTGGCCCCTTCCGAGCGTCAGCTTAGTCAACAAGCTACGAACAAAACATTTTTTCAGCCTCCTTTAGAGAGAGAGCTTCATGCACTCCCCTGTTATTTTGGCAATAGTTTTAGTTATGATCCCCAGCTGCCCTTAAAAGAGTTTTCCCAGAGACAGATCAAGTGCCCACGCAGGGATATTCTCCTTTGACCTTTTCACACAAGTCCCACCGCTGGGGCAGAGATATCTGAGCACCGGTATAAAGGTTGGGGAAAAACGTTTCCTGTGTGATGATTTTTATAGTCACCGCTGGACAGAAACTAGGCCGATGTCCAGGCTGTAGTTCAACTTCGGGATTTGAAACACCAGACTAATTTTTTTTTATATTTCTGAAGCTTTCCAGAATGTGTCTAACTTCTGATTTTCTTTTTTCTTACTAAAAAGCTCCAAAAACGAGAGAAGACATGCAGGGCTTACCTTAAGGTATCTCTCCTGTGCTGTCACCCTGCTTTCTCCCTGCTTCAGCAACCTGCCACGCTTTATCATCTTGCTGCATGATCCTATGTATTTCAGTCTTTGATAAATGTGTATTGTGCCCCATATCAACTGTACAAATGTTGGCTTTGCACAGGTATAACACTCGGAAAAAAAAGTTAAAGATCAAAGTTTATACCTCTTTTACCTCAACTTGTTCAAAATTAAAAGAGCAGAAATGTTTATTATCTGAATTGGAAATAACATCTCTTGTAACACAACTTTGGGTAGAGGAAAAAGCTGGCAACTTAATGGAAATTACTGCAGTTTGGTAGTATTTTATATCAAAGACTGTTTAGAGTTAATTTGCTTGCATGAAAAATGTACATGATACAGCCTGCTTTGTTCTTTGTGTATTCTTACACCCAGTAAAATCACTCTTTCTTACAGTTTTAATAGTTGTTACAAAGGCCAGATTCAGTGACTTTGTGATAAATTGTAAAGACAAACATTTCTCTAACTTTACTAGTAAAATGTGTGCCCCATGTCCCATTAACCAGCCTCTATGTAACACATTGCTACTGATTTTCAGTGTCTTTCATCCTCTGTGGAAGGGGTGTCCGCAGCGGCCAGCTCTTGCTCTACAGCACAGTGCCAGTAACGCTACCTCATGCCTGTGAAGGAGAGAAAAAAGTCCTAGAACAGGCCCTGTCTGGCCCTGAAAAATGTTATTGCACATTTTTCCAAAGTTTCTTTGAAAATACTGATTTTTACTTGCACCCTCTGAGATAAAATGTAAGGATGTTTTTTGAAAAGAGCTTTGAAATACTTTGCAACGTAATAAAATCATTCAGACTCTTACCGAAGAGACATTTCTCTGTACAGGCTGCTTCTTTCTTTTATCCTGCAGCCCGGGAAGGGGATGGGGGATGTCCAGTTAAGCAGAAATTTGACAAAAAGAGACAGAGATCTGGAGAGAAATTCGCTTCTCAAATAATAATAGTTGTAATAGTTTTTATTAGCAAATATTTTTCATAGTAAAGGGAAATCCAGCAGGTATGGTTTGAGTGGACTGAGTTTCATACTTCAGTAGTAAGCACGAAGGTGAGAAGAGCAGTAGTGGGGTTGCTGCGGCAGCTGCAGCACAGGGGCTGTGTGATCTTCCTACCGCCCACTCGCCCCTGATTGGAGAGAACACCTCAGAAATGGTACTGGGCAGGCGATCGTTTCCACAGGAAAAATGCAGAGTTAGATTACCCCCTAATAAATAAAACGTGATTCATATTAATGAGCGTGTACTGTCAGCACTGTGTGGAGATACACAAGAAACGGTAGCAGAACCTTAATTTCTGACCAGTGTCATTTTCTGTAAGTCTCAAATGGGCTTCTCTGCTTAGATAAGACTAATAAACCTCTTGAAATTACAAATCAGAAGCTGACTTACAGTATGCAGATGAAGCAAGTTCCCACTCTGTGACAGAGGATTCATTTGTACCTCAGATTAGAGGCTCCAATCTGTATTTCGTGGTGACTAATGAATCTGGCCTCTGCAGACCAATTTCTGTTCCACTCTAGTTAATGGCTGCAGCAGTATCGGTGCGAGCATTTTGACTATTCTGTCTCCCATTAGAGAAAGAAAAAAGGCTTTAATGCCATATCCAAGTATCTTCCACCTGCCAGGAAGGTCGTGGTGGCTCACAATGCAGACAGAAAGAGGATATTAAAATGGATTAGGCTAATTAATCTTGCTCTGGCAATAGCTTTGACCAACTTTTCCTAGCCGTTTACTTGCACAACGTAGTATTCCAGACCGACATCTTTCTGTTTGTACAATGTGTTTTCTATTTCCATTCCCAATGCTTTTTAAATTGATCAAACAAATTATATATGTGCTTAATGACACATTATGACTAGGTAAATGGGACAGAGTAAACAGGGTGTTTCAGCAATGCATGGCGTACTCAATGCACAGCATACTCAATGCACAGCTACATTATGCATTAATGTAAGAGCCTGCCTTCAATTGATTAACTGATTACTGTGATTGATTGGATTATTTTGTAAAAATAATGTAATCATGTCGCTGAATTCTTCTTCTTCCTTATTTACTGTTACTTTATATGCAGCTTAATGAACCTTAAAACGTGATGATAGAGTTGTTAAAAGAAAGACTTTTAAATGGCAGCTTTATTCAGTTTTGCAGTTTCGCCTTCACTGGTAACAGGGACAGTCAGTGGACATCTTGTTTGCTCTATTGATTTCCTTTTTAAGTGACCTTTGTGCAGGAGCGGGAGTCAGTAATCTTTTTAAGTGTCTATGAACAGGTACAGGAACAGGAGGGGGAGCGAGAGTGGCCTGGGCTAATTTATATCCACTGAGTCAGCTTCATTTCGTGCCTCCTGTAATAAATAAAGCAGTTTGTCATAGACAAGTACTTTATAGTGCTATGCCTGCTTGAGTTGGGCAAAGTTTCCAGAAGAGGAGTATTGTCATTTTAGCCTAAGCTGCAGTGTGCCAGTTTTGGCATTAGTATTTTTAAATAGAAGTTATATATTTTGACATTAACTTTAAGATGAAAGCTGCAGGCAGAAATTCTGGCATTAATAAGACTGTCTTTATATCTGACATGAGACAAGTCAAATCTGCATGTTTACTACTTAGAGACCACACAATGCTAGTGGCTAACTGCACTTCTATTAATGCTAATCCAGGGAGAGGATGGAAAATATTTTTATGTTGAAAATAGTTTTCTAGTGCCATTAAATCACAGTAAATCATTCTGACAGTTAAGTATTATAATTGCCACCAGATAACGTTGGAAATTTTCCCCAGCTGCCTAGGGCAATCAGACCTAATGATGGTTTCCTAATGAATGCAGGCAATTGTGGATACAGTGGACAACCTGCTCAGGCCTGAAGCTCTGGAGTCCTGGAAGGACATGAATTCTTCAGAACAAGCCCATGCAGCCACGATGCTACTCGATACGTTGGAAGAAGGGGCTTTTGTCTTGGCTGATAATCTCTTGGAACCAACCAGAGTCTCAATGCCCACAGAAAATATTGGTAGGTGAATTTATTTTCAAGCATAATGTAAAGAGCTGTGCATTGCTTTACACAAAAATCAAGAGAAAAATATTCCAGATAGCCACTCACTTTTTGAAAGCTGAGCTGCCCGACGTTTGGTGGGAAGGTAAATGCTCCCAAGCAGAGGAGATGCTTTTCTTGTTTAGTTCTTCAAAATTAGCATTCTTCTTTAGTATCATTAATACAGGCTAAAATGGAAAGTTGATTTACCACTGAAAAATCATTAGCAGAACGTATGGATATGAAGAGTGCTTAAATGGCAGAGTATGGATTTTTTGAGGTAACTGCTTTGTGTAGAGCTGCCGAAATGCTTTTCTGTTATATATGAACTGTTCCTAATGAATTTAAATTACTTTTTTTGCAACAGACTCTGCCAGTTAAATATTTCAGGCACTCAGAACATAGGCCAAATGTTTATATTAAACACGACTGCCTTCAGGTAAAAATGTGTTCAGTGAACTACATCTCCCATAATGCAGAATAGCTATGCTCCAGAGACTGCAAAATAGCTGCAGTTAGTTGGAGCATAATTTGGAATTTAAGTGGTGACAGAGAAATTAAGGGGTTTGGTATTAGAGATGTGCAAATATTGGTACGTGGGATGTGTTAAAGCAAAAATCATTGCTATGCATAAAATTAAAATCCCTTTATCTTACTACAGAGATTAATGTAGCTCAGTGAGGTACAAGGGAGCTGAAAGTCTGCTAATTTGAGGGGTACCGAGATGGAGACTTGGAATAGACTGCAGATATGAGATGTTACACATTTCAGTGTCTGCATATTTGTAACTGTAGAGGTGATTCAGCCTAGCTTTTAATTGGAGTAGGAAGGTACTGGGAAAGAGGGAGGAAAGGTGTTACAGGCTCTTATCAGAGTCACTGCGCCGGTTGTTTGGGAAGGAGTGCGGGTAGAGTCCCAGAACGTCTCTCAGGATGCAGATGAGCAGGGCCTGCACGTCATTCTTGTGATAAGCTGCCCTTAAGTTGTAGTTAGTAACACATTACTGATGCCATGCAAGGCCAAATTCCCAGTGCTCATGCATATATCCGGCTTAGAAAAATCACCCCCTGATGTCATACCTTTGGTCAGTCTATAGTTCAGACCTACAGTTAGACCAGTGAAATGTAATGCAGATATTTGTCAATACACTGGCCACTCTGACCTATATGATTTTACATATCCCAGCCTTTGATGGAAAGCCCATGAAAGCTTCCCAATAGACAGTGTGTTATAAAATTAAAACTTAAGTAAAGCTGAGTGGCACCTGAGTTTTCAATTAAAGTATTTTTTAGCAGAACCAATATAATGGTTTCCTACAAATCTTTATACAGAACTAGATTTAGGGGGAAAAAAAGCGTATTTTTTTTTTAGATACAAATACTGATTTAGTTAAATACATGGCATAAGTATAATTAGGTATTCATTTGCTGACTGTTTTAAAAATAGTTTCTAAAGTTGAAGCTCTAAATTTGTTGCCAGAGGATACTGCATAGATGTTATGAGCTTCAGAATTAACATTTCTCTGCAGTATGTGTGCATGGTACATTTAAGTGGATGTTTTTTGGGGCACAAACTAAAACAAGATTTGATGTCACGTTACCATATTCAAGTGCTGTCATTTAGTAGTGTGCACTAGGTTTAGTTAAAAAAACTCACTCTGTGTGCTTGAAACATGCAGTACAGCTCTGTCTTACAGTGACAAATGAGGACAGCAGTGTGAGAGAAGGAAATAAAGAGTGGGGGGAAATGCTGTCATCTGGCATATTGCAGTCTGGCCAAGAGACTTGCTCTGCATTCTCCTTTTTTAACGCTTCTTTCTGTTTTGGTTTTTTTTCCCTCTGGTCTGCTTAGTTTTGGATGTTGCAGTGCTCATTACCGAGGGCCAGGTGCAGGACTTGAAATTTCCTCAGGGCAGTAAGGGAGGCAACTCAATTCAGCTCTCTGCAAGCACCGTGAAACAGAACAGCAGGAACGGTGAGTTGTGGGCACGGAGCACTGAAACTCCATTAACTTGTATAAAACATACGCTACCTTCCCGTGTTAAAGCACAACAAAACTGCTCTGTGGCTTTGTCTTGAAGCTCGTGGGTATCTGGGTGTTTCTCTTCAAATCCGTAGCCTGAAAATGCCTCTCTGTTTACTGATGCTTTATTGTCAGTTCATTAGCGTACAGGTTGCTGCTTTTCTTGTAGGCCTCTGTGGCATGACAGTGGGATTTTTTTCTTTTTGTAGGATTAGCAAAACTGGTTTTCATCATCTACAAAAGTTTGGGGCGTTTTCTCAGTACTGAAAATGCAACCATAAAGCTGGGCAGCGACTTTGCAGGGCGGAATAGCACAATCGCAGTCAACTCCCACGTCATTGCAGCCTCTATCAACAAGGAGTCGAGCCGGGTGTACCTGACCGATCCGGTGCATTTTACGCTGGAGCACATTGATGTGAGTTATGCTAATGAATTAATGGGAAGGTCATAAAATCAGCACGAGAGAAAAGCAATGCAGAAAAATAACCTTTTTTCCATTTGAATTTTAAATGTTGGACTAGGTCAGAGACACAAGCTTAGTTAAGTCTATGAACATAAAATTAAATGAGCCTGGTTCAGTGATTATTAGAACTTAAGTGTATTCTTAATGAAAGCTAATTCAGTAATCAACATGAAAATGTAAATGACTAATTTGTTTCTAACCGAAAATTAACTCTTACCTTAGTAGCAGGGTGGAAAATGACTGTTGGGTTCTTGATGGTCTGATGCAGTGGCAAGTTTTAGTGACACCGACCTTTTACATTGGTTTTGGACCAAGTTCTGGAATCCTATTCAAATTGTTTAAATGCATTTAATTCAGTGAAGAACAAATTATCGTATCTTGGTTTGTTATACTTCAGATTTGTGTATATTTTCTTAATGGTAATTTATTGGATGTGTTTCTTTGCTTCTTAGTTTGTTCCTGTCTGTTTTCCTGACTCACATGGGGAATGTAAATAGTCAGTACAGTGATAAAGGAAATAAAGTTGGATTTTCCTCTCATTTTGCCTCTTTTTATAAATTTGTTTCAATTGGTTTTCGTCAGAATAGATAGGCGTTAAGGAACGAACATTTTCCTGATCTCTGTTCACGTATCTTTGGGCTGACCAAAGGTGACAGTCAAAGGGAAAAGATCATATTTTCAAATTCCCAATTACAGGAAAAAAAATTCAGAATAAATTTGCAGTCCTAATTTTGCAGAAAGCAAAAATGGCTATAATGTGCCATCAGCGCATAAAATCGTGAGATGGAAATTGTAATTGTTTAAAATTGGGTCTACAATAATTGAGACTATGCTTTAGAGTGTTTCGGACTATAAAGTCCCTTTTAAACTAGATGTCTTCCTTGTATAACATAGTCCGCAATTTTGCTGATGAAAAACTTTATTGTCCGAAACATGCAAAGTTTAATCTAAATTACCCTTTACACATATTGAACAATTGTTATTGCCTTCTTAGTGTGTAAAATCCTCATTTGATGTTATCCTTTTATCTCCCAGCCTGACAATTACTTCAATGCAAATTGTTCCTTCTGGAACTACTCGGAGAGGACTATGATGGGATACTGGTCAACTCAAGGCTGCAAACTGGTTGACACAAATAGGACTCATACGACGTGTGCTTGCAGTCACCTCACCAATTTCGCAATTCTTATGGCTCATCGGGAAATTGTGGTAGGTGGTGGTGATGTTTCTAGCCATGACAGGGAGCAAACTTAAAGATTAAGCTTTAATTTTTGGCAAGATTCAAAATTGTTGGAGTTTCTTAAGTATTTGTAGCTGCTGCCCACTCTTCCAGAACAATTTGATTTCTCTAGCACTTTTCTTTGTAACCCATAAAGTTACAGGCAAAACAATAAGAAAGAAAAAGAAGGAAGGACAAGGTTTTTCTTCAGGTCCTATTTTAAAGTCACAGACCAACCTTCCAACCATTGTGCAGACGTGGAGAGTTTCTGTAGGGGCAGCTGTGCAGGCTGTTCCTGGGCAGCACAAGTGCCAGCTCTCTGTAGAGCAGGAAGGCTGAGGAGCTTCCGTCCTGGTTGTTTCAATGCCTTTTCGTACTCTGAAATCCTTTTGTCTAGTTAAAGCACTTACTGATGTCAGGGGAGCATGGAATATTTACAAGGGTGTGAGACTTTTCATAAACCCATTGTATGAGGAAAGGTCACTGAAAAGATAAACAAGATGACAAAAGTGATTCTTACACAACTGAAGGAAGGAGCCTTCTTTCGCTAAACCTGAGAGTAGAGCTGGACTTACACACCTAACATGCTCTGCATTTTATCCTAATTGGTGTGTAAATCGCTGCTTCCTTCACTGTGGAATTGCAGGTCTGTAGTAAGGAACATGTACTCTTAGAGGAGGTCACAAGGAAAGCTCTCCTCTTTGCATCAGAGCCTAGTGGCACTTTCAAAATGTTATGTTTCTTTACTTGTTCTTATCTGAAGAGTTTATATTGAGTCACAGGAAAAGTAAAAATGCTGTCTGATCTGGCTAAAATGGTCGCATGTTTCTCTCAGACCTGCTCCTCTTCTACTTACCCTCATCTTGCTCTTCTGGGAAGCTGACCCGAGACTGAGAAATTACCGAGTACATTTTGCCCATCTCATGTAATGAAGAAGTAACTTTTCTGGATGCTACCTGTGTAAATAGGTTTTTGTTTATACTCATGAAGAGTCATATTAATTTTCTCCATTCTTGGTTATTTCTAGTACAAAGATGGAGTGCACGAATTGCTCCTCACTGTCATCACCTGGGTGGGAATTGTCATCTCTCTTGTTTGCCTGGCCATCTGCATCTTCACATTCTGTTTTTTCCGTGGCCTGCAAAGTGATCGTAACACTATTCACAAGAACCTTTGTATCAACCTATTCATTGCTGAGTTCATTTTCCTAATAGGCATCGATAAGACAGAGTACAAGGTAAGTTTTCTCTGTGTGTACTGATCTTGTCCTCTGAAATGACTGTTTGAAACAGATTTGAATTAAAACATGACAACACTGCCAAGCTTTCAGCACTCTGACACAGCAGGGCTGAATGTGAAAATAAGATAGGCATGTTCATAAATAGTATTTACATCCATCAAAAGTATCGCTGTGGCCTTAATTTCCCACTTACAGCAATGTTTTTCGTTTTCAGTTGAGAAGCGTTGGCTATTAACAAAGCAGGTGGCTATAACTTGTGAAAGAGGAGATGTAATTGAATGTTGACATACTAGGAACATATATGTGTCCTATCTGTATATTCATAAGTTTCAACAGCTACTGATTACTTTTTCATGCATATATATGCATATATATATATATTAGTGCAGAGCCCTATTTAAATAATTACTCGTTTTATACACTGCACATTCATGCAGGGTTTTTTTGGCAGTATTGGTGAAATTAAGTCTGTCATTCAGAAGCAATTAATTGGGTTGAAATCTAATAAATCAGTAGAGTTTCAGCCAAAGGGGAAAGAACTCAGATTCATTTCCGTTACGACTGTGGAAACTTCCAAATTACAGAAGATAAAAATGGCTTGATGGCTGCTTCATAATTTTAAATAAGCAGTATTGCATTATGTATCTAGCACCAACTGTTCATGTCTCAGACTGTCTAAACTGTAAGCCGTAAAACCATATCAGTTTCAAAATTAAAGGGTTGCTTATAAGATCGAAAAGTCCACTCTGTAATTGAAGACTGGAGGTGAGGACACCATTTCTCTGTCTTCGTTGATACTGTTGAGCTGAATTCGCTTTCTGCAGCTGTTGTGAACGCATTAGTATTTGGAAATGACCAGTGTGTGTTTTCAGGTAGGAAAAATGCTGCTGCATTCTCTGATAGAAATGTACGCTGTTCTATTGCACACTGTTTAATTAAAGACGTAATGATGCAAAGATTTTGTGCTTTATATTTCCATCTTTCTTTTTCTTTGCAGATTGCATGTCCAATATTCGCAGGTCTCTTACACTTTTTCTTCCTGGCAGCCTTTGCCTGGATGTGTCTAGAAGGAGTGCAGCTTTATCTAATGTTAGTAGAAGTATTTGAAAGTGAATATTCTAGGAAGAAGTACTATTATGTTGCTGGCTACCTCTTCCCTGCTACGGTGGTTGGTGTCTCAGCAGCTATTGACTATAAGAGCTACGGAACAGAGAAAGCGTAAGTAATTGCAAGTGACCTGAGTGTTTTTCAAGTGAATAATTTTTTAAAGCCTATTAGCTGTCAGAGGGTCCCTGACAGACTAAAATACCATCTGAAAGCTTTATTGGTAAGAGAATGGCAATGCTGTGCACAAATTACAATCAAGTCTTTTGTAATTCTCTAGGTTCAGAGGATTTGTACTCTAGAGAGACCGATTCTAAATTATGGTCTTTCTTTTAACACAAAAGATTGACCTGAAACAAATTGAAAAAGTAAATAACTTTTTGTCCTCAAATGTATATTAAGTAAAAATTCTCAACTTAAAGTATCTGACAGACCTAACCACCCAGTTTTAAGCTAATGCTTCATTAGAGCTCTTTGTTCAGCTGCCCCTCTAGCTAATCTCGTCCTGAATTACGGCAGTACAATATTCCAACCCATATGTTTCACTTTGATAATACTTTATCAGGCGGGTAGAGCAGGATTAAAATTAGCCACCGCCATTTATTTCAAAAAGTACAGATAGATATACATAGAAAGTGGCAGAAGGTAGACAGAAAACATTTCTGAGGATTTGTGTTGCTGGAGGCATGAATTTGCCTTCCAATACTGTTTACTTTGTCCTTTGATGAAATTAGTTACAGAATGGGAAGATACTGTTGACTTCGAGAAAGCTGCTTGATTTTGCTGCTGATGAAAGACAAATAAGAGCAATTCAACAGGGAACTGGGCTGTATGAAAAACAAATCGCTAAGTGAAGTCGGCCCTAATAGGTTTACACGTCATTTAGTCTGGTATCACATGTAGTATTCCTCTGCTGTTCAACTCCCAGTTGGGGCATTTTGTTTGTGCGATATTGTTTTTCAGCAAAACATGGCAACGGAACATTTTCTGTCTTGTATTCCTCAGCAGTAAGCACTTTGCGTGGGATATAAAGTTTAAAAGCAGATTTTGAAGACTGCATGGAAAACCTGTGAAAAATACTTACTGATGTTAGGTTCATTAGTCCATAGCACCTGTCACCAGCCCTTTTGCCTGGCTTTGTTTCTTCTTACATGTTAGCTATTCCTGATGATGTCTTTTCAAGTTCAGTAGTGTCACTAAACAAGACTCATCAGAAGAGTTTCAGGTTAGGAAAAATCGTCCATGGAGTAAGTGGTACCGTGCAATGCTGACCATCGTTTACTGACAAAGTGCTAGCTTAGGAAGTATTTTTGCACTTTTCATGTATTGGACTGAGGTGCTAATGCAATTGTTCACTTCTCATTCTGTTTTCTTCCATGATAGTTGCTGGCTCCATGTAGATAACTATTTTATCTGGAGTTTCATTGGACCCGTTACCTTTATTATTCTGGTAAGAACTTTGCTTTTCCCTTTCCTTTTAGGTTGCCTCACAGCAAAGTTAAAAAGATTGCATAGCATCAGTCAATACCATCCTTATTCACAAGACATCTCATGAAAATGCTTATAAACAATTCGTAGTGTGACCAATGGTTATATAAATGTTTAGAAATCTTTAAAGAGTGCTGACCGAATGATTAATTGTCAGAGCTGTGGCGGCACTTCAGCAAAGCCATTTTTTCCTAATGGCTTGAACTCTGAAGGTTGTATTGACATGTGTAGTCATATGAAAAATCAATGAAGTACTAAACACAGGGTTGTTGTTTTTTTTTAAAGGAACCATTATTATTGCTTTCAACTGAGTCTCTACTGTACACATTCCAGAATTTAACTGCTAATTAGCCAACGTAGTGATCACAAAAGGGTGTTCTAATACATTGGATAATTAAATAAATCTTGTATTTCATTACATTACACAGTATTTTTATGTGTGTTTGCATATGCATATTTTTCCATGACTACTTCTGTGTGTATTTATGCTACATGTAACGTCAGACATGCAAGTTCATCTGTTTTTACTATAAATAATAGAATATTTTGTAACCGGTAGAAAGCACATACACATTCTTGCAGCCAGTTGAGTACAGTCATTGTATGCACACCCATCTGCACACCCCCAGCTCTGTGCCCTCTTGTCCATTTAAGATTGTGTGTTGTGTCCATACATCAATTTTCCGTTCTCCGAGCGCTTTCAGGTAAGAAGCGCGTAGTCATCTGTCAGCCCAGGGAGAAGCCACCTCCCTCTTATTGCAGACTAACAATACCAACGCTGCACAACATAGGAATTTGGAAGGAAAGTGAATGCAAGCTTCCTTGTTTTTCTCTGCTAGTTCAGTATTTTTAAAGCCTGGTTACGCTTGGGAAATACTCTAGAAGGCTGGTGCTGGGGACATAGCCTGTGGACATAGAGAGCTTTTCTCGTAACTGCTGGTAGTTTGGAAGGATGAATTACTTTGTTTTCATGCTTTTGAAAGTCTAAATAGTTACCTGTTCTCCTGCCTTTATACAGTAGCAGAGTTGTGAAATCTTAACAGAAGTTTTCTTGAATTTCCAAATTCAAGAATTGTATTTTGTCATTATGATTTTTTCAGCCTGAAGCACATCAGGCATCATTTTGGGATCTCTGACTCTTATAGATCTGTACGCCGACAAACTAATTCAACACTTTTTGTAGCTTATAGTTGACATTACTTCTCCGTGGAAAAATAAACCGATACTTTGGTTATGGAACTTTCTATAAAAAATGTACCCGGCCAGTCTTTTATAGGCACTTTATTCTTTCCTGGTATCTTTGGTATTGCAATAAGCTTATGTATATTTGAGATTGTTTATATCACCAGTTGTGCAGTGTAGAAGTTGTTTGAGTTCATTGCCAGATTTTCAAATAGGTGTAGATGCCAAAACACCTGAATTTGAAGTAGAAAAATTACAGTGTTTGTGAGATCTAAATATAAACCATAATAATTGCACAGAGTTTATTCTAAATGCATTTAAATTAAATGCAGTCTCAGGATGATAGAGATTCTTTTTTAATTAAACTCACAATTGCAAATGAAAGATATGCTTAGTATTTTCAATATGATAGACAGTATTTTTCAAAGCAAAGTTGTTTCTTGCAGTTGTAATCAGTACTAGAAAATTGTTCTAAGTTACATGCCACAATAGTTCAGTTACCTCAGGTCTGATTGTGTGGTGATAATTTTGCTTTTTGGATCTGGCTTTTTATTTTATTGTTACTGGGAGTATTTTGCTAAGTCACCTCTATTTCTCTCTCTTGCTTTAAAATAACATTTCACGTGGGAAGCTTTGGGCATTGCTGGCGGCTTTTTCACTTCCTCATAACCAGGTCAGAGTGAGAATAGAGGTGAAGGACATTTAATCATATTGACCATGTACAGACATAGTTCACTATTATTTACTGGCCGTGACATTATTATCCTCCAGCAAATCATTTAGGCTGAGACGCAAAAGGCCTTTGGGAGCAGTATTCCCAACTTCAAAAATATGAAACAGCAGGTAGCAATCACAGCACAGTTCCTGGGAGTAATTCTTCTCTAGCAATTGCTTTGCCCTCTAATCGTCCCGACTGAGAAAGCATGAGAGACTGGAGGAAGAAGTGTGAGGAGTGTAATGGCTGAAAAATAATATGTCATGTGCAGCGTAACCAAAGAAGAGCCGTATTTGTAGTGTAACCCACTTAGTATCAGTAGCATGTGAGAATTTCACCTTGGTAAGCTTTTTAACATGTTAATCGTTCCACTTTTGTTATTCTCAGTGTGATAGTACTGTCAGTGCACATGAACTCCTTTTGGACAATATTGCTTACTACTTGAATTTACAATTTTTTCTCTCGGTTCATGAGCAGTTGAACTTGTATCTGTATACAGGTTTGCACAAAATGAGGATGGGAACTATAGGGGAGAAGCATGAGGTTCCTCAGTACATCTTCTGAGGAACTTTCAACTCCACTGTTTCCATAGCCTGCCATGCCTTTGGGCACCAGGGTTATTATATCTATGAGAAAAGAGCATGTAAGTAATGAGCGGTGGGAAACCATTAGTATGCCTGAAATGATTTAATGAAAGTTTGGATCATGATACGTCAGGAGCTGTTCTTATCATTTGGACAGCTCCATCTGCATCTTTAATAATTAATTCAGTTCAGGAAGAGTTCAACGTGCACACTCATTTAGAAGCCTTCTTCAGAGAGCACCTCTCTCACTGCCAGTCCCAGAGAGAAATAGGCTTCTGCATGGCTAAGAGCAAAGATCTGGAGATACAAGAGCAGTTTTAGAGCTGCATTTGCCAGGTAACAAAAGCTCTGGGGAGTTCAAAAAGGGTCAGAACATGTGCAGTTCAGCTGGGTTACTTCAGAGTGGTGTTTCTGTTCTTCTGTCTTATCATATCCATGTCAGCACTGCAGGCTGTGTGGAATGAATTTTAAGCTGCTAAGCACAGGCAGACGTGATCCAATTGAGCAGGTTGATGGCTATAAAACAAACAGTGTAATCTGTGGTCAGGAAAGCCAGAGTATTTTGACTTCCATGTAGACCCACATTCATTCATGTCTGCGGATGGGTGATGTTGGTTTGACTTGAATTCAGCCAAAACCACTGGAGTTTGCTTCTCGCAGATGGAGCCAATATACCAGGCTAACCAAGGCTGTTTAACTACAAATTCCTGGGATGTCCTGTTTCATTAACATAGGAAAGATAAGTTTCTTTTTTTCACTCAGGTTGAGGCATTACTTCATTGAAGTCAGTGGATGTATACATAGAGATGCACATATAATCTAGCTCTGCAAATGCAAATGGACTTATGTATATAAATAATAACTGTAAGTCTTTCTATAGTAGACATTTGATAAATGGTATTTATCTGTTGCTTGCAGGTTGTTATCATTATTGCAAAATGTCGCTTTATTTGGCACTAATTCATTGTACCTGCAACTAATTCCAAACCATCAGTCTTCTGTGCAGGTTACTGCATCCACCTTTTAAAAAAGTTAATGTGATTTGAAGACACTCCCTCTCTCAAAATTACATAGGTTTCAGGTGCCAGACAGTTAAAATTCCTACCTGTACCATTTTTCGTGTCCCATGCCTTCTGATTTCCAGACCAGAAATGGCCCTCCATGTGTTGGCGTGATCTTCCATGATGCTGCATTTGGTTATTGCCATGAATAGTTTTCAGATTTTTGGATATTGAAATAGTTAGTTTTTATTTTTCAGTATCTATCTAATTGTCTTTCTTTCGCTACGTTCTATCCAATTACCCTTGTCGTATTAAGGGATAAGTAGCCACTGGTATTTTTAAAGGTGCTCTAATTATTTTTTTTTACTTTTCATACATTTCTAAAATCAGAGTATAGATTAAGCTTGTTCTCTGTGTAATCCAATATCCTGTCTCTTATAGTGGATAATGCATTTTAGAAATTACAGCAAAAAACCAGTATATTAATGAAACCTAGCATTAATGAAATACTACCAATCCAAGTTGTTTTCTTATCAGCTAATGCTTTAAGAGCTCTCACATTATAGCTCCACCTACTGTAGCTGTGTGATTTGTCACTCTCGGTATCACAGCAGAATCTTCAAATATGAACTTGATGCCTGTCCAGACTTCTAAATTCTTATTTTTAGCTTTCTGAAGAGGGTTGATCTGATTTTCAGAAGTGCAGCATGAAAGAGATTTTACTGACTTTATCAAGGGCATAAGTTCAGAACTTTTTGAGATGAATACAGTGTGGCTGTGTGTGTGTTTATACAGCATATTTATATTTTTTATTGTTTGTTATTGTTTGTTGCACTGTTCAGGTGCAGATTTGGGTTCATCTGGGAGGGATGCAGCCCAGTTGTCAGGATCAGACCCAGCCAGTCACTGGCCCTTTATGTTCTCTGAAGTGATGGGAAAGCTGCCATTGTCAGAGGCCCATTTTTTCCCTTACAAGTTAGCTTTCAAAAGCCCATCATGTCATTCATGTGGGTCTTTATGGGACCCCAGAGTACTGCTTGTTTGTGGTGAGCATTCTTAAAGAAAGATGTCCTACTCAGACCAATTGTCCAGCTTGGAAAACATCTACACATAGAACAAGGGGGAATGGCTTTAAACTGGAAGAGGGTAGATTGCGAGTAGATATTAGGAGGAAATTCTTCACTATGAAGGTGCTGAGACACTGGCCCAGGTTGCCCAGGGAAGCTGTGGGTTCCCCTTCCCTGGCAGTGTTCAAGGCCAGGTTGGACGGGGCTTGGAGCAGCCTGGGCTGGTGGAGGTGTCCCTGCCCATGGCAGGGGTTGGACTGGGGGGGCTTTGAGGTCCCTTCCAACCCAAACTATTTGATGATTCATTTGTTTAGATCAGTAACGGTTCAGTCCTCACAGTGTCATGAAACAATTCAGGTTGGAAGGGATTTGTGATCAAACCTCCTGCTCCAAAAGAAGCTCAGCTCTGAGCTGAGACCAGGTTGCTCAGGGCTGAAAAAGCTTTCCTTATACACAGTTAGTGCAAATGAATGCAAAAGCACTGTGTTTCCTTCTCCCCCCGTGTATTTCTCACCAAGACAAGTAATTCAGCCGTTCTTCTAAAAGCAGTTATTTTCCAAGTTCCCTTCTCTTACTGCTTAGCATCTTCTTTAATAAAATGGCAGGATGCCCAAAAGTCTTCACCTCATGAGTTCCTCCTAAACAATCAGTTTCTAGATGAAGAGCAGTAAGGGAGCCAAAAGTGAATCTACAGAAAGGTTTGGTTACAGTATTTGTAAATGGGCAGAACAGGCTTTTGATAATGGTACTGTGTGTAACAGAGTTGCCAGCATGTTTTGAAAAGTGGCAAACCATGGTCTTTTGACTGCTGAAACTGAAAACTATGCAATAATTCACAGTGATGGAGAAACAAGTATCATATGCTCTGTTGTCATAGTTACTTTGTCTTCAAAGTACAATATTTTGCTTTTTTTTCTCCTTTCTTGGAAGGACTTTTTCAGCTACCGTGAGACAGCATTACTGTTTCTGTGGGCTGCCTTGGGGGTTCTGTACCTAAATTAGAATTAACGGGTCTATTAAGAAACTGCTATGTGCAGTTATTCCCTACTCCAGCAAGGACATGTATACAGACAGAGCTAGGTATCTGCATAAAACCTGCTTAATATGCCGGAGCTTGGCTGGGGCTCTGGGGTAGGGCTGTGTCTGCTTGCATGTCACCGAAGGAACCTCGGTATGTAAATACAAGCTTTTGTTTTCATATGTCAAACCAGCACTTCAGTCATACAAAGAATCAAAGGATAAAAACCTCTCATTTCATAAGGCAGTCATTTATGGGCTAAGCCATGTCTATGAGTTTTTGATCCAAGAACGATGTTGCTAGTACAATACAGGATACTCCAGGGTAGCTACTTAGGCAAGGATTAGCTTCCAGCTGTGCTGTAAATACTGTTCTGAACTGGATTGTGCACTCTCAGTTGCATGGGTTGCAGCCAAAGTTGATTTACATGTTAGGATTGGCATGGGGTATGTCTCTTAGCTCTTAATCTGTTTGTTTTCACAAAAAGTAAATTGAAGTTACATTTTTTTAAGCGGGCTGGAGAAGTTCATTTTATGTCAGCTACCAAAACGTACAAGAAACCTTTTCCAATCCAGGAGAAGAAAATCTGCCTGCAGAGGCATGGGACTGAGGGTCAGGTCATCTGCAGAGCCCCCATCCCCTGTGTGGCGCAAAGGCCAGAGAGAGAAGCAGCTTGTTTTCTTACCCAAGGAACTTGTGCTGTACAGTGGAAACGGAGATAAGAGGAACAAAATTATCACAACGATACAGTCAAGTGTTTCTCAAACTCGTTAGTCATTACCTGTAAGAATCATAAAAGGTAATCAGCAGGGTCATGAGATATTGACACTTCTGTTACATTTTGCAGCATTGAGAATCATGCTTAACCTACACCATGTACATGCCTCCACTTAAAGGTCAAGTTCTGTCTGTCAGGTCTTGAAGCAGAGTCAGAAAGAAATTATAAAAGCTTATTTTTTTATTTGTATCACATACACTTTTTGTATTAATCTCAAGGTACAATTGTAAGAATGTTTTACTTTGAATCGGGACCGATGAGGTCAGAAGCTGCCAAACACTGTTCTGGTGTTGAGAGCTGCGTTACAGTTCATACCATCCATCCTGATTTGGAGACAGCAGCAGCAGTGATAACGTGATTGCCCTTAGCAGTAGGAATTATTTCTACAATTCATGTCTTTATCAACAGGCTCTGATCAGAGCCTTCAAAATATTTTCTGTATTGTTAAGACCTGCTCTTTATTAGGATTTGAGTGGCATTTCTGACCATTGTGGCACAGCTGTAGGAACACATATTCTATGAACTGGCATCCTCAGTGTTACAAAAAATGTGAAGATATTGATGCTGTCTCAAACCAAAGGCACCCCAAAATGAGAAACTGGGCTTAATCATTCTCTATCAGTAACCAGCAATCCCAAGCACAAATACAGGTTGAGTGGAGAATGGATTGAGAGCAGTGCTGAGAAGGACTTGAAGGTGTTGGTTGATGAGAAGCTCAACAGGAGCCAACAACGTGTGTTTGCAGCCCAAAAAACCACCCATATCCTGGGCTGCACCACAAGAAGTGTGGCCAGGATATCGAGGGAGGTGATTCTGCCCCTCTACTCTGCTCTCATGAGACCCCACCTGGAGCACTGCGTCCAGTTCTGGAGCCCCCAACAGAAGAAGGACATTGAGCTGTTGGAGCGGGTCCAGAGGACGCCACAAAGATGATCAGGGGCTGGAGCACCTTCCCTGTGAGGACTGGCTGAGAGAGGTCCCCCCTGGACGTTATTGCTGCCTTCCAGTTCCTGAAGGGGGCTTACAAGAAAGCTGGAGAGGGACTGTTTACAAGAGTGTGTAGTGATAGGATGAGGGGTATTGGTTTCAAACTGGAAGAGGGCAGATTTAGACTGGATATTAGGAAGAAATTCTTGACTGTGAGGGTGATGAGACATCACCCATGGGTGCCCCATCCCTGGCAGTGTTCAAGGCCAGGTTGGACGAGACTTGGAACAACCTGGTCTGGTGGGAGGTGTCCCGGCCCATGGCAGGGGGGTGGGCTGGGGGATCTTTAAGGTCCTTTCCAACCCAAACCATTCTAGGATTCTATGATACTATATATATGGAAGATTGTAATAAGAATGGCGTTGTAATCTATCTAATATATGCGTTAAATGGTGCACAAGCATATTCTCCCATCTTCTCTTAGCTATTGGTTCAGCCATTTCTTGTGGACCATTGTACTGGTAGATCAGGATGTATGCCTTCTCCCAGAAAGGACATGGCTCTTACTGTCTTCAAACATAGGATTTTATTTTAGTTGTTTGCATGATATAGGACAGCACGTAGTAGCTGCTCAACTGTATACCACTTTTCAACCCATATTCTGCAAGCATCCTTGTATTTGGCGTACCTGTGCTCTTCACATGCTTTGAAATTGATAGGAGAAAGGCACGTAGTATCTTTGATATCTGTGATTCTGTTTCACAATAGGAAAACCATAAAATTGCCTTCGGTATCTTTCCCGGTGTTATCTGTATGAATGACACAACAAGAATAAGCCAGCATAGTCCTTTCCTTCAAGTGGCATGCAGTCTCGCTTCGACAGACTCTGGACTACAAAGTGAAAGAGGGCAATAGGAAGGTGCAGCACCAGCGTAAATGTCTATGGCACTGTTAAGTTTGATGCATTTGCTACATTTTTGTGTTTCTGTTTCTTTTTCCCCAGTTACATTTAAGCTGTTTTCAGGACCCCAGTGAGATTTGTGAAAAGAAAAGGGAAACTAAAAAAAAAGAAAGGGAGATGCCAACAAAGGCAAAAACCACTCCAGAAGCAGGATGGGGTGATAAAACAACAACAGTAAAGCACAGTAAAGGGGTGAGCGCAGTCCTGAGGAAGTCTGTGCAATGGGGAGCAGGACCAGAGGTGACAGGCAAAGGTGAAGAGGGGCCAAGCACAACGTGCTGCAAGATAGAGCTAGACTGGTGATGGCAAATGTTGAACATGGTGGTTCATGATGGTGTGGTGAATTTGGAACATCAAGTGAAACAAGGACTTCTAACATTTATCCCCCCCCCGATCCATGTTTGCAGTCACCTTTTACAGACTGTCTGATGTAGCTACCCAGTTTCACTACGTATTTGAAAATAAACTACAGGGCTTTTGTTTAGTCTGTAACATCATCACTATTCAACCTATTACTTGAAGTAGTTTAATTTCATTCTTATCTGTTTTGACAGCTGAATCTTATCTTCCTGGTGATCACATTGTGCAAAATGGTGAAGCACTCAAACACTTTGAAACCAGACTCTAGCAGGTTGGAAAACATTAAGTAAGTGCTTTGTGTTCAAGTATGAGAACTATGATTATTTTCTGATTGCTGAACTGATTGAAAGCTGCTCTCCATTAGGAGCACATGCCATTGTCTCCCAGCAACTGCAGATGTCAATTAGAAGCAAACAGAGCCAGTCCTGCTTTCGTCACATTGTTGCTGTAATGTCACAAACACCGGTCACAATTAGATAATTTCAGCCTGGAACTAGTGCCAAGAAACCGTTTCACGGAAATGCCACAGCTCTGTAGTAATTTCATTTGCATTTAAAATGCAGTTCAAAAATGATGTTCCTGTTTGCATGGCTGATATGATTATATTAAGTTTGTTTTGTTAAATGACTTTTTGATTTAGGGATTCTGAGCAGTTTCTACTCGTAATCCTGTTCTCCCAAGAGAATTGACTCTATTATTATTGTTAACTTGAAGATTATCTGCTGTTTTCATGCTAATTTAACAAATGTTTATCTTGGTGCTGTACTGCAGTATCCCTTTTGCAGAGCAGTGTAAGTTTTATATAATTAACAAGGCTTTGGCAGCTCTTGCTTCTTTAGGTAATTTTTTACTGTATCGTGTAGAGCTTTACGTTGTACTGAAGGTTTTTGCTGTCAACACTGAAGGGATGGTGCAGCTTTCTAACGCTGAGGGTTGGATGTGAAAGGGTCTTACAGATGTGCTTTAAATGTTGAAAATGGCAAAGGGAGATTCAGTAAGGCTAACATTTTGAACTAGATGTTCTAGATAGGTCAGTATCAGCTTCATTGCATGTTGCATGATGAGAGAGAGAGCTAATCTTTAGCATCTCTCTCTTTTCTTCCTTTTCCTCTTTCTGTCTTCTCATCCACACCAGTAATTACCGTGTTTGTGATGGCTACTATAATACGGACTTACCTGGGTAAGATAGAACCCTACATTAACAAATTTCTAGCATGATTTTTAACTTTACAAACTCGGTCAATATTGTGGATTTCCCTTAATTTTAATTAACTAGTTTTGAGATACCTGATTTGCTAAAGAATTTTTTACTATTATATGCCTTTATAATTTTAAATTGCTTGCCTCTGCGTTTTGAATTTCCTAATTTTGACTAATTTTTGTAGAGATTTAAAAATGCTCTTATTAATTTCTGTTTCAATTCTGTCTAATAATTTTGTTTCTCTTTTCTGCTTATAATGCTTTCTAGCTATGAAGATAATAAGCCATTTATCAAGTAAGATCATTAGTTAGATGTGGAATTCACTGACTAAATTCCCTTTCCCTTTCATTCTGTGCCGTTCTCTACAATTCCTTTTCCTTAACCTATTCATGATGGAATCTTTTTTTAGACTATGCTGTAGAGCAGTATCCATACTTTTGTCACATTTCAGCAGGGTTTCTTCATGCGGAAGTTAGATCATCTAGCTTCAGTTTAGCCGAGTTTATTGAAGCATTAAAGATTTGGGCTCTAGGCTTTTAATCTGCTGTTTAACCTTTGCGCATTTGCGTGACATTATTTGGTGTCATATGGCAGCACCACTGTTTAAAATCCATGGTGTGATTAGTGGCTGAGCCAGACTTACCAATCTCTTTTGTAAAAGCAGATAAAGCAGTGGAGTAGCCAGGGCTTGCGCTATACTTCTGCATTTCAAAGTAGTTTTGACATCCTATCCAGTTCTTGAGAAAGAAAAAGGTCATATCTACTCTTGCTGTTTTCACTGGAGACTAAGAGTACCAAATGGAATTGTTCTTTCTTTAATAGAGAAAAGGTTAAACCCAAGGAATTTTTGCATTTGAATATGAACCTAGTAAAAGTCAACTGCAGGAACTGAAATGTTAATATTGGATTTGGCGACATGCGTTCTCATAAGTAATGTTACTAAAATTAATTTTCTTTTACAGATCCTGGGTCCTGGGTGCGTTTGCTCTCCTGTGTCTCCTTGGCCTAACGTGGTCATTTGGCCTGCTGTTCATCAATGAGGGGACCGTTGTGATGACCTATCTCTTCACAGTATTTAATGCTTTCCAAGGAATGTTTATTTTCATCTTTCATTGTGCCCTTCAAAAGAAAGTAAGTTACTGAAAACACAGATGTGTGTTCCCTTACTCCTTAAAAATACCACATATATTTCTTAAAACATAGAGGAAAAAAAGCAATGTCAAGAACTGGGGTATTTTGAAGTAGTTTGAGGAGGGGATTAGGATTCAAAAGCAGTTCTTGCTGTGTGTGCTTGTGGGAGTCATGTGGAGTCATGAACAGTCACTGTTCAGTGGCCTGGGTGGGTTTAAAACGGATGCAACATTTCCAACCTGGGCTCAAAAAGTTTTGAGGCTTGGGAAGAACATGATTCTAGAAAATGTGCTGTTTAACACTGGTAATGTGGAACGTATTAGTGTGGACTAACAGCGAAAAAGCACTTTATGTGCACTTGAAACAAATCCTGCCTCCACTGCAGCACTGCAAACAAAGGATCATTTCCAATATCAGCATCTCAGCCTGGAAAGTCACTCTCTTTCTCAGATCAAGGTAAAGGACCTCTCCTGAGATCCCATTAAGCTGCCACATAACGCTACAGGTGATAGGCAGGGATTGTACTGTAAGTGCTCACTCATTACAAAATAAAGTGAGATCTAAAACTTAATTTTATTATGAACTTTGACACACCTTAGAACAAAGTAGTCATTAACACTAGACAGCTGCTGATGGGGAGTTTTCCAAAGGTGCCAGCATGACTACTTTTTTCCCAACGGTTTGCCTCCCCCAGCAATCTAACAACTTCCTGCTCTTAACTGGAAAAACTGGAATTCCCTGGCAGGAGCCTTCCCTTGCAGTGAGGGATGTGCTAAATTAGTTCTGCTCCGCTTCACCTGATAGGAGCAGAGGGGTCCAGAAGGAGCAGATTTGCTGGGGAGAGGGAAAGTGTGCATGGGAAAGGAGCAAATGGGAGAGAAGGAGGTGCAGGGAGCAGCCTGGTGGGATTCTCTTTGGGTTCCCTTCACCCCTCCTTCTCCCCAGCCCAAGGGTGAAGACAACTTCCAAGGATGCCTTGGAACTGCTTTAGTGAAGGACAAAAGAAAAGAGATCATAGCCTGTGTTACACAGTGTGGCAAAGGGAAGTAACGAGTTGAGAGAAAGGGTAAACGTCAAAAAATCCCACCCAGAAAAACTTAACATGAAATGCAATACATCCTGCATTTGGAAATACTCAATTTGGAATATTTAGATTCTAAATATTTCTACCAGTTTTAGGCTGGAGACCTAGCAGTTATTAACTCCCATTATAACTAGCTCACCTGAGACATAATTAACTGATATTTATAAAATGGTTAGAAACCATTGCATGAAGCATTGCTGTGTAAGTACAAAAATGACACTTGCATGTTCTTCCCTGTGCCAGCTCTATCAGCGTCTCTAAATCTGGTGTAGACGATGGCATTCAGCCATGTTTAAGGAAAAGATCTGGTAGCCAGAAGGAATTTTACCCAGATGAACACGGCCCTCCTTTCATTCTGGGAGAACAGGAGCACACTTAGAGAGGAGACTGAGCCTAAGAACAGAAGAAAGGGATGAAAATGCAAACATTCTCAAAATACAAATCATTTCTAGATTAGGGTTTCGTATAATGTTGCCCTTTCTACTACTTGTATTGGACTTGAGAATCAAAAACATACTCCTTTTTATCTCTTTTTACAGCTGTGCATTGTTTTTTGTATTAAGTGGAGTCAGCAAAAAGCAGTATTAAAATAGCAGTCAAGTGTGAAAAAGCATAACCTACAGCAATAAGATTTATACCTGAAAGGATGTTAAAGCTGCCATTGGAGATTTTAAAGTTTCAGTGCCTTTGACTGGATATCATCCCATCCTCGTGTCTGCATAGCTAATGTAGTCTTTTTATTCTGTTATTACTAGTTGGTCACTAAATTGAACAGAGAAATAGAATTGTGAAAGTGAAAACTATTATGTTTCCAGCTCTGACAGGATGATAGTGCTGTTGCTTCCATCAGATTCCAACAAGCTATAATTTAGAAATAATGACAGTGGAATGCGCAGGGCTGACAGATAATGTACATTCACTGCAATATAGGCATTAGGCAAAACCAGCCCTGGAGGGTGGTATTTGGGTAAAAATACAGTTTTGATTGCTATTGTCTCTACTATGTAGTGGTTTGGAGCATTTAATATCCATTAGTGTTCAGGAATGTATTTTCTTAGGTGTTTTACCAGCTAGTGATGATATATACAGGCTTACGATTTTCAGTCTACAGAGTTAAAGATCATAATTCTATGTCCATGCATTTCTGTTTTCTTGTGTGTGTGTGTGCATCCTTTGTGCTGATAAGGTTCCCTTAAAATATGTTCCATGTACTTCTATGAAAAGAGGAGTTATTATCCCTAGCTTGAAGTTAAGGCACTAACTATTCTAATTTTCTTCATCCTTGTGGTTTTTAGAAACATCACAGTATGTATCCCATGTGTAAAATTCTTGTAGTATTGAAAACTGTACATGGCGTATATAAGTCCAGATTTATTTTTTGCATTTTCCCCTTTTCACATACTTGTAACTTTCTTTCTGTCCTATATGTACATACGTCAAGCAGAATTTCCAGATTAGCTGAAATCCCACTTCTTTCAGAAATTTAGGAGCCTTACGGATCTAGAAGGGACACTTAGATTCCCAAGTATCTGGTGGAAGATTTACGAGTTTATTACTATTCTTATACGCTTTTAGGAATTAACTGCTCAGTAAATTAATCCTGATTAATTTTATGAGAAATGTTAACACACATAAATTACAAACCTAAAGTTTCCAGCAGGTCACTGGAAACAGAAGGTGAATAAATGCAGGCCAGATACTGAATTCATTAATTGGTTTTGTTGCTCTGTCAGACAAAAAAATTAATATACATAGGTGTACTCAGATTTCTAGGTTCAGCAAAGACAGTAATGAGGGTTTTATTTTATGGTCCTAAAAGTGAAAGATGCTTCATTTCCCAGCCCTTGTGGTTCAAAATTGGACTCTGAAACACTGCTGCTGTCTGTACCAGCACAGCTGATGCTCTGCCTGGTTAGCTGGGGACTTCCTGAGCTTCGTACAGTCCTGGGGCAGGTGTGACCCTATAGACCAGTGGCTGTTTGAGCTACAGAGCCACTTCATATGAAAATGCCTCTATAGACATGGCAGGTTTTGCACCCTTTCTTGGAAGGGATAACCCAATGGGCAGTACCAAGCAGTGCAAAGGCTTGTTGCCTCAGCCCTGCTCGCCTGCTAAGATGGGCACATAGGCTTTCTATGGTTTCTGCACCAAAAGCTCGTTAAAAAGGACTGTTTTCAGCCAGAATTCAATTCAGTTGAACTTAACGATATTAATTTACAATATTTATTTTTTTCTATATATAAT